CCCCCCCGCCTGCCTCGCCAGCCCCACCCAGCCCGGTGTATCTGCTGTCTGCCAGAGAGGGCAGCTCTGGTACCCCACCGCCCAGCGATGCAGGCACGGGGTTATGGGTGCAGAGGAACACGCAAACACATACGTGCCCCGAATTGCTGAGCTGCAACAGCAGTGTCTCCCCAGGATGGATGGAAACAAGCAGATGGATCTGCCACACACGCTCAGGGGGCCCACACCCCGGTGAAAACGGAGAGCACCCCTCGGGGGCAAGTCCTTCCGAGACCTGAGATACCTACCAGCGTGGAGAAACTGGGGGGACGGGGAGAGAACCCAGGACAGGAATGGGGACAGGAACGGGGTCATCTTGCTCCAAATGGGAGGAGGATGTGGCAAGGGGGGAGTGAGGGAGAGGAGAAGGGAGCGAACCAAGAAAATGGCTGGGAAGGGGATGGTCAGAAGAGGAAGGGACACCTGGCCTGTGCCAGACAGCCTGGACGCCCCCTTCCCTCTGCCCCACATGGCCCTGCCTGATAGCCCCCTTTCAGAGCCCCCACCACAACCTCACTCACCCTTGTTACAGGAGCTGGACGGGAGCAGAGAGGCCAGCAGGAGGGGCAACAGCAGGAGGGTCGCGGTGCGGTGTGCGGCAGGGCAGGGCCAGGCCATGGCTCTCCCCTGGGAGCCTCAAACCAGCCTATTCCACCTTGGGGGAGGGATGCAGGGCTCTCCGAGGAGGGGAGGGAAGACAGAGGGCAGCAGGGCAGCGACAGAAAGGAGCCTGCTGTGCACGCTAGTCCATACGGCAGGCTGCGCAGACCCCAAGTTGGGTGGCTGAGGCGGGGGCTTGCAGGGGCTTCTTCCCTCCGGCCCAGCGTCCCCGCGCTCACTCCCACCCCGTCCGCGCTACTGCAGGATGACGTCAGCACAGCCGGGCAAGATTGATGGGGCCGCTGGCCAATCGGGTGAGTGGGGGGCCGGGTGCTGCGGGGGAGGAAACCAATGGGACTGGGAAGCAGGGGCGGGAGACTGGGTTACGGCTTTCCCCCCTGACTGCAATCTGGGGGAGCAGAGGAACTGCGGGGGCCAGGGAGGAAGCTGGAAAGCCATAGAGAGGGTGGGAAGTAAGAGGGCTGTTGGGAGAATGGAGAGGCTAGAAGCCAGGAGGGGGGGAGGGAGACCTGCCGGCGGCAAGGAGAGGCAGTATGCACGTCACCGCCCCCAACCCTGCCTTAACCTCTGTTCACAGCCCGTTCCCTCAGCAAGTCCCCGCTGCGCGCCTTCTGGGAGCTGCGAAGTAAAACCCTCATTCTGAACCCCAGACACCCGGGCAGTTCAGTTCTCAGCCCGGGTCTCTGCGGAAGCCACCGGATGATGGGCAGGGCAATGGCCAGGGCTCTGGCTGGAGGAAGAGCCAGACCTTCGTGCACGCCTCACGCACACACACCTGCGGGACGGCTCGCCCCCAGCTGCAAGGCCAGCCCTGTTCCCCACTGCCTACCCTCCTCGCCTCCTTCTCCCGAATTTCCCACCGTAGACCATGATGCGCCAGCCGGGAGATCCTGAAGCCAGGGAAGTCGACAGCTTTGAGTGAGACGTGGGCAGGTGGGGGCGGGGCACAATAATTGAGGTGCCCCACCCCCACCCCTAGGGGAACACGTCTGGTAAGCATGGGCTCTCCAAGGGCTGGGGGCTGCGGACATGATCGGTGACTCGGAGGGAGACGGAAACCCCGGTATCCCAACCCAAAGAGTATAAAATTCTCCACATTAGCCACCAAACTCCTCCCTCCCCTTCTGCTCTGGACTTTGAACTCAACACCCCATCAAGCTGCTGACAGCCCCCTCTGTGCTTGAGAAGAGCAGTCTCTCTGTGTCCCTCCTAATGGCCCTGTGGGACGAAGAATCTGAATGTGAGTTTGGGGTCCCAATTCAGCCAATGGTCTGAGGGAGCTGTGGGGCAAGGGCTCCAGGGTTTCTTCACTGTGGCTCCTGGCCAGCTGGCTGTCCCCTCTTCCTCCCCTCAACCTTTCAAGATCCCTGACTCAGTCCCAGGATCTCAGGATATTGTTAGAACTCATCCCCAACCCACATAGCCTGTCCAGCCACAGCTGCCTCCCAGGCAAGACTGCCCCTCGGGGATCTGGGATGGTTCCCAAGCCTGCCAGAAATGGAGCAGAGGCCAAAACTGACCTTCCGAAAGGCTGAAGTTTGGGATAACTGGCAACCCCAGATCCTGCTCGAGGTTCCTTCCTCAGGAAAAGCTGAGGTCAGGCCCAACTTTGCCAAGTCTCTGCTCCTCCTTCAGGCTGCAGACACCAGCCCCAACTCATCATCGGGGGAGGAAGGAAGTCCGGTAGGTACTTATTGCAACAGGGCCACAGCCCTTTAAAAGCCCTGGTCATTGGACCTTTACACACTCCTGTCTCAGTGTGTGTAGAGGCTGGCCTGGAGTCTCTCAGCTTCACCTGCCACGCAACCCACTCCCCCTCCTCACCCTGTCTCCTGTGTTCTCCTGAAATCTTGATCTCCATCTTGGCCAGCCCAGACAATGCCTCCCAACCTCACCGACTACTACCGCTTTCTCTCACAGAAGAACATGGAGGACTACCTGCAAGCCCTGAGTAATGGCCTCATCCCCAACCCCAACCCCTCTCACTCCCCTTCTTTCCTCTCCCTTCCTGCCTCTCTGTCCCACTGAGAAGGGGGACTGCTGAGGTTGGACATTGTGAAAAAGCTCAGGAGGCTGGCACCTGACTTGGGATGCATTTCTAATCAGGGACATTGCTAGGAGGGGTTAAATCCACTGTCAGTGACCCAACTTAGGGAAAGCTCACAGCCCTGAGGTGCGGCTGCAGGTGGGGAGTCTCCCGGCTGGCGGGCAGCACCCTTGCTAAGAGATGCCCCCCCAGACATCAACCTGGCTCTGCAGAAGATAGCACCGCTGCTGAGGCCCGACAAGGAAATTGACCATAAGGGCAACCACGTGACAGTGAAGACTCTCAGCACCTTCCGCAGCTATATTTTGGAATTCGATGTGGGAGCTGAATTTGAGGAAGACCTAAAGATCGTGGATGGACGAAAATGCCAGGTACTTTTCCTTAGGCTGGGGGTGTGAGGGTGGAGGGATGAGCAAGTGCCTCCTAACAATTTGGGACAAAACAACGTGACCTCTCCCAGCCAGAACCAGGGGCAATGATCACCAGGGCAGGCCATGGTGTCCCCCCGGATATCAGTATCTGGGACTAACAGACTCCTGGTGTTCCCCCTACTCTCTCTTACTTCTTCCCTTCCCCCTCTTATCACCAGCCTAATGGACAGAAAGAGCAGCCGCCCCCAGGCCAGTGAGCAAATATTTACTCACCCTCTAGCCTGTGACACTGCTGCTCACTCAGGGTCTCTACTTTTAGCCTCTATAACCCCACTCTCCACATTTCTTTCTACTTCTTTCATGTTCCTTCTTGGTCTCCTTTGCAGATCCTAGTTTCCCTATTAATCCCATAAACTGGGTTTTCCTGATCTCTCTATTGTCTGTACATCACCCGTGGGCTAAATCATCTACACCCATGCCTTCTGCTCCCATCTATAACCTGCCCTTGACATGTATTCTCCATCTAGAGCCATCTCCTGAGTTCCAGGGTGATGTTTTCAACAGCCTGCAAAATATTTCCATTTTCATGCCCCAAATGTCAAACTCAAATTCGTGATCTTCCTACCCAAACCTACTACACTTTTATATTTATTATCTCCATTTATGACAATAACCAGCCAGACCGGAAACCTGGGAGTCATGGTCAGTATCTCTTGTTTCTGGGAGGTAACCCCGTACCCCCCCAGCACACACACACAGGCTCACACACTCATACACACACGTGCTACACCTAACTGGTCAAGAAGTCTCTGTAACTTTTCTGCACTGTCCAAGATAGTAGCTACTAATTCCATATGTCTGTTGAACACTTGAAAGGTAACTAGTCCAAATCAAGATGTGCTGCAAATATAAAATACACACTGGATTTTAAAACAATACCAAAAAGATGTAAAATATCTCAGAAATGTTTATATTGATCACATGCTGAAATTACAATATGTTATATATTTTAGGTTAAGTAAAATACAGTATTAAAATTAATTTCACCTGTTTCTACTTTTCTAATATGGCTCTTAGAAATGTGTAAATTATGTGTGTGGCTTGCATTTATGACCCACGTGATTCCTATTGAGCATCGTTCTTCTAAACGGCTCCTGCCTGTTCCTTCCTGGCCTTTTTCACTGTCACCACCTTCATTCACACCCTCGCTTCTCACCTCGTACCTGAAACTGGCCCCCATCTTAACCCTCCTCTAATCTACTCTGAATACTTTAGCTACAGGATCTATCTAAAATGTAAACGTGACCGTGTCACTCCTTGACTCGAATCCTTTCAATGACAATCTAATGTATTCCAGATAAAGTCCACATGCTTCACACAGCGTACCAGAGTCTTCGTGGGCCAAATCTTCTTTTGTCCTTCCCATACACGCTCCAGGTTAGAGCCCTTCAGAACTATTTGCCCTTCTTTCTTACCTTTATGCTGCTGCTTTTCTCGCTAGAAATTTCCCATTATCTCCAATCTAATTAACTCCTAACTTCCTTGGAGACTTGGCCCGTCACCCCCCACGCCCATGCCGAGTATCATACATTTCTATTTACTGATCCTCCGTCTGTTTGAGACTCTGAGCTCCTTTGTAGCAGGGTCTATCCTATGGGAGGGCTCCATAACTGTTGACTGGAACGCCCAAGCCCAGATGGGTTGATGCGCCATTCCCAAGGACACTTCAGCTGTCCTTGAAACTGAGAAACAGGAGAAAAGAGATTACCTGGTGAGACTCCCAACCAATCTCTCTTCTTTCCCAAAAGTCCCTCCAGGTCAGCCAGAGGTATCCAAAAGACAAAGTCTCCATTCTTCACCTCCCTCCCCAATTTCACCTCCAGTGATTCTACTTCCCCCCTCCTGTCCCCCATAGGTCACTGTGGACAACTGTGGGTCCCCCATCAGTGGCTTTTAGGAGCTGGGGAGGGGAGTCCTGCTGAATCAGAGCAGCTCTCTCACTCAGAATGAAGGGACTGGAGCAGAGAGCATCTGCTGTGGAGTGAAAGGGGGAGCCAGACAGAGCGTCCTCTCAATCTTCCTTTATTCCTGCTTTCTCCTACAGACCATAGTAACCCAGGAGGAGGACCAGCTGGTGTGTGTGCAGAAAGGGGAGGTCCCCAACTGAGGCTGGAAACACTGCCTGGAGGGAGAGGAGTTGCATCTGGTAGATTGACTGAAGACTGGGAGGGGAGACATGAATGTTTCTGGACAAGGGACCCCCAGCTAGGATGCATCCCCTTTCCCAAACCAGCTCAGTCTACCACCCAACCCCCACCCCACCCTGCTCCCCCTTCCAAGGAAGTGACCAAGGGGGGAGACGAAAGCACTGAGAAGAGTGGAAGAAACAGAGTGGCCATGGTGGGCCCTGGCTACGAGTCAGATGAACGCCCATAAAGCACAACTGAGGAGGTGGAGACAGCCGTTTCACATGCCCTGACCCAGCTACCTTCCTCTGGGGTGAGAAGTTGACAATTTGGTACAATGGTACAATTCCCCATTCGTCAAATACTCTGGCTGCTGTATCCTGAATGATTAAACGGAGGTCAGGAACTTTGAGAAAGGAGCCCTGGCTAGCAAGAACCCTCTTTCTCTCTCTTCATCAATCCTACTGTATCCCCAGGAACTGACTGCAAGGGAGGCCATGTGCAAGCAGGTCTTCAGGAAGGTCAAGTAACCCGACAGGAGCTGGTGCCCCTCTACACAGCACCAGTCCACAGACCCCTCTGGCTTGTGCCCTCTTCAAGCCCGGAATGTGCCAGGTCTGCAGTCCCTTTCTTGGGCCATTTATCCTCTCTCTGGGTCTCTCCTCACCCCTCCCCATGTTCATCTGTAACTTGCAGCCCCCAGGCCAAAGTCCCTTCTTTCTCAGGCTCCGCTGAGCAATAGCAACCTCACTTTCAGTTCAAGGTCTGGCCTCCTGGATGAAAGAAACAGGCACAGGGAAAGGGCCCTTGAGAACAACCAGTCTCCACTCTCATTCGTGTGGCCTCTTATTTTCCTTCTAAGAAAAAACTAAGGGCCGGCCCGGTGGCGCACTGCTGTAGTGCGCCGCTTGGGAGCACAGCAGCGCTCCCACTGAGGGTTCGGATCCCACATGCAGACCGGTTCCCGCTCACTGGCTGAGCGAGGTGCGGGAGCAACACCGAGGGTTGCGATCCCGTTGCCGGTCCCGGTCCGGTACGGGCGTGACACTGAGGGTTGCGATCCGTTGCCGGACACGAAAAAAGACAAAAAAGGAAAAAAGAAAAAACTAAGCTCAAGGCATTTGGGAGTTAGTGAAAATCCTATCCTGGTGCACCTTTGGAAACTGCAACTGGGGTTCAAGAGATTAAACAGGAGCTATTGGCAGAGTCTTCTTGACCATTTTCTTGTCCTTTTCTCGAGAAAGCCTTAAGCACTCCACAGGCCCAGGCCCAAGGCATGGGCCCACCCACACAGGACTCAACAGACTCCACATTTATCAACAGCTGAAGGCATCCCGGCTACTTTATGCTCCCATCCTATATGTTGGTCAGGAGGGACAGGACTGGGTGAGACCTTTGTGTGGTGCTGAGGGAGGCTGAGAGCTTTTAAATAGTGACCTGGCCTCCATGTCTGCCTTGGGAAAGCAGACAGCAAGAAGGCCAGGAAAGACTGCAATGGGAAGCAGATGGCGGATGCAAGGCCACAGGATACAAAGATGAGGGTGTGGAGATGTGAAGGCCACAGTACGGAGAAGACAGTAGACCTGGCTCTAGGGACCCTCTGCTTAAAGGCCAGCAAGGCTGGGGCCGGCCCCGTGGCGCACTGCTACAGTGCGCCGCTTGGGAGCATGGCGGCGCTCCCGCCGAGGGTTCGGATCCTACATACAGACCGGTTCCCGCTCACTGGCTGAGCGAGGTGTGGGAGCAGCACCGAGGGTTGCGATCCCGTTGCTGGTCCCGGTCCGGTACGGGCGCGACACTGAGGGTTGCGATCCATTGCCGGACACGAAAAAAGACAAAAAGGAAAAAAAAAAAAAGGCCAGCAAGGCTGAGGACAGGGAATAAGGGGGAGAGCTGAGGACAGCAAGGCCCCTCCCCTAGGGTCCCAGAGTTGCTGCCCTGGAAAGAAACCCAGAAGGATGGGGGATGTTCAGGGTCAGGGCAAGCTCCAGCCTCTTGCTTCCTCCCCACCTCCCTACCTTCGGAAAGAAAGTACTGAGGGGCAAGAGTGAGAGAGAAGAGGGCTCACTTTGGGGGTGGGGAAAGAGCCTGGCAGAGGAGTTGGCGGGCGGAGGGTGTTGGAAAGTCCCTGGTCCTCATCAGATGAGCACCCTTGGCCCCTCTTCCTGCAATGGCTAAGGCCCCTACATATACCAGACAGTCACTGGAGCTCCAGCCAAGAAGAACTGGGCTTGCCATACCGATCCTACTGCACACCCTGGAATGAATTTGGAAAAGAACTCAGAGTTGAGCTGAATAGCTTATTTCCCGCCCAGCCTCTCTGCAGATGTCCTCAGCAGAGTGGGGAATGGAGAGCCCTCCTCCCAGCAGAGCCACCCAACAGAAGCTCTGAGGGCTGCTGGATCCTACCTTCTCCCTTTCCAAGGCACAAGAAGATGTTCCATGTGCACAAGTCACCAGGTCAGGGCAGTGGCTTGGCTCTCTGAGTTCACAGTGCAGTCCAAGCCTCTCCCCGCAGGGCTGTCCTCAGTACTATTCATGTCAGTCCAGTACCCCTTGTGCAGTCTTGCCAGAAGGCCTGATCCAGGAGCTAGGAGGCCCCCATGGTGACTGTTAGACCCAAGCTAAGTGGGCTCAATTCTTCAAAACTCCCCATGACATGTGTGTCCAGACCATGGGCACTGCAGGTCCCCATCCTCCACTCGGTCACCCCCCACCCCCCCAGAAGCTAGACTCCAACAAGAGCCTTGGAGAGCTCCAAAGGAAGAACACAAACCCAGGGGAGGGCTGAGCATCTGCAGAGGCATCTCCAGGGGTGGCAGCTCCGACCTACTGAGACTGTGGGAAGCTGGAGCTGCTGTTTCCCCTGTAGATGGCAGGGAGTGCCACTCACTGCAGCAGAAGCCGGAGATATTCCAAATTCTCTCCTCCATCGTCTCCTTGGACATTCCATTCTCCAGTGCGTGCATGTGCATGCATACATAAATGCACACACTGCAATTCCCAGCCCACATACTCACACTCAAAAGATCCTTATCCTTCATTCAAATGCCTCCATTCATCCTCACAGGGAAGAGATAGTCACCTAGAGGACCAACATGTGAGTGCAGAAAAGGCAGGGGAAGGGACAACGGCCACAGATGGATGGGTCCCACACCAGGCCTCTCCTGGGCACACAAAGCTGTAGAGTTGATTTTGTTAACCAGGGTCTTAGACCCCCAGGAAGTGATCAGGAATCCTAAATGTTTATTTCCATGTGAGGTGGGAAAACTGCATCCTGCTAAGTCAGTCCAACACCAGGCCCATACGCCACTCCCACTCTGCCAGACCCAGGTAGCACCATACCGTCACAGACAACCTTCCATCCTGAACTCCAAACGATCCTGTAAAGACCACAGGTAATCCAGATCCATCTCCCCAGAAGAAGCTGACCACCAGTGGACGCAGAGGCTGGGTGTAGGCATGCGCCCTCTGAAGCAAAGGACCATGTACTGCCTGAGGACACAGGCTCCATGTCCTGCCTGGGGTCCCAAGAGGAAGCAGAGCAGCAAAGTCTAGCCTCCCAAACTGCCCCACCTCTTCCTTCAGCCACCACCTCTCACATGCCCCCCACCCCCACATGCCCAGACCTGTATATTAAAAAGAAACTCAGGTGGAAGCTAGAAAGTTCCTCAGCTCTAAAGCTCAAAGGTCACCCCAGCCAGGAGCCTGATCCTCTACATGGTTGGACTCCCTATTGGCAGCAGGAGACCCCTAGAGGCCACCACAAATCCTAGGATTCCAAGAGAGAGCAGAGGCATGGCCATCTGGCCCCTTTCCTCAACCCAGATGTTACTCCCTAAGAGGCAGGAACCACATCTGGTCTAGGCTTAAGTGCCCAAGGTAAGAGGCCTGCAATCTCCCACATGGCTGAAGATGGGGGAAGGGCTGCCCTGGCTGTGGCCTGCCTCTCCCCTCCTGGAGCCTGCTGCCCCTGGCCAGCCTGGAGACCACCTCCAATACCCCCACCCAGCTCTCTGAAAAGACTCCCCTAACTCCTCACCCTGGGCATAACCCCCTCAGTCATGACAGCACCCATACTGCCAGGGTCCCTAGGGACTGACTCAGAGCCATCTAAGGCTGTATCCATGATTATGGACAGGTGTGGATGGGGAGACCTTGCAGGTCCAGCAGGAGACAAAGGGGCCAGGGGAGAGGGGACCTGGTGGGCAAATCAAGGGGCTCTGATGTGGCCCACCTGGGTTTGCATGGATGGCAGAAAGAAACAACAGTGATTGTCAAGGCTCTGAGGCCAGGGGTACAAGTGCTGCCCAGAGAACCCTGCCTGACCAGGGGCCAGAATAGGCACCCACCAGGCCCACCTCCTCTTCTGCCAGATCTCAGCCACCAAGGTGGACCTGGACCAGCTCCGTGGGCACCTATGCTCTATCCACACTGAATGCCCACCCCCACCAGAGGCCGCTCAGGTTCCAGGGGGATGAGATGGAGCTGACCTTCCACATTCACCCTTCTAGCAGGAACAAGGGGACCTCTATCCTTCCCAAGGGCTCCCTGGTCCTCCATCTAGCTGGATGTAAGCCTCCTGTCTCCCCCTAGACCTCCCACTCCCGAGTCTCGCTTCCCTTGCCCTCACTTGTACTCTGGCCACTAGGGAGAAGGGGCAGCTTGAGGAGACTCTGTTCTGTCTCCAGTGGGCAGTGCCCAAGTAGAGAGAGGGTCACCGTCATAGCCAGGCCATTGGGCTCATGGATAAACCATTTGCCTCAGAGGCTCTAGATGGACCTAAAATGCACCCAAAATCGGGAGGGAGCACTGCATAGTGGTCAGGTGTCAAACTGCCACCTGTTATTAGCTGTGTGAGCATAGACAAGTCACCACCCTTCAGCAAATAAGTCACTTTTGCCAGCCATGCAAGGGAATACCAAGAGTCCATCATTCCTCCAAGGAGGTGTGTGGAGATTCCACGTGCTGTCAGCCCTCAGAGCCTCTGGAGTAGAGGAAGCGCTGACACGTGTCAGCTCTTATGACTCGCATTGCCCCGCCCTCTCCACGGGGTGGTTGAAAGTCTCTTACCTGGAAGCAAAGCCTTGTAGCCTACAGTTGAGGATAAGGTGTCAACTGCCAGTACCCCTGAGGTTATACAGGGACCTGCTCATACCAAAGTGTAAGTGACTGACACCAGAGAGCTGGAGACAGCACGGCCTCACTGTGGCCATCCAGGCAGGTGGTCGTCTGGGGATGACGGGGAGGAAGGGGAGTGTGGCCTTCCCAGGGTTCCAGAGCCATAATCTTTCACTGTGCCCTACCGCCCCCATGCCCAGTTAAGACCAACTGTGCTACCCCAGACAGTGCCGCCCTGCAGAGCCCTGTGCCTGCCTCTCAGTGCCCGCTTCTGCTCCCACAACAGCCACTGGTGCCTTCCCACCAGCCAAGAGAAAGCTTCAGTGCAGGGCAGACAGCCCCAGCGCCACTGTTGCGACACTATACACAGTCACAGGCTCCCCTCAGACCCCCAGCAACACACACTGAAGCACCCGCAGCAGGGGCTGCACCAGGCTGGACCCCTGCAGCCACCAGCAGCAGGCATAGCCACTTGACCCTCCCCGCTCCTTACCATTTGTCCCGTTGCTTCTCACACTTTCCTATTGCCTGAGAGGCCTCCCTCTTGTCCCTGATCTCCTGCAGAATGTCCCCTGTCATCTTCCTACACTGACAGGGCTCCAGCCTCCCCTCCATTCATGCCTTGGCATGGGCCTAGCAGTCCCATCCTGCTGAATGGTGTTCTTCCACACAAATGTGTGTACCCCACACGATTCTGTCCTGCGCACGCCACCTCTGTGCACAGTGCGGGGACAGGAGTGTGTGCT